ATATGCCAAAAATGACTGATTAAATGCAGTTCTAAACATTAATTGGAAGATTCCAACAATCGATACAGATGAATCAGATTTCACCCCGATGCACAAGAGAACAGTAGCTAGGTGGATAACGCGATAGCGTTTGAATCAAAAAGTGATGGAATCGAGTCCTTAAGTGAACATTAACTCCGGGACCCTTGTAAATTCAACTGGTGAGTTCTACATGAAATGAACCGGACGTCTTCGATTCTGCTGTGAGCTACCATTCATTCATCCATAAGCATGAAGTTGTAAATTATTTGATTACAAGTAATACATGTTACTGTGGATTTCTTGTGAGATATCGTTGCATAATTAAACCATCTGTAATCTTTAGATACAAACTGTTCACTTTAATACACAATAGAGTTTTCATGTAAATGACGAGATAAAAGTAGATGATATATACATTATCTTTCCACTAATCAAACAAAATTTTGAGTACAATATAATGATCATTTTAGAAAAACGTCTATAAAAATTGAGTAAAATTTAAAGGCAACAATCAAACTGTATTCAATATCAAATAATTATAACATTGTAAATATAGATCTTTTGTGATGAGATAAATGTAGTATTTCATTGTAGTCATCTTATTTACCTTAACAAATCACATCAATGAGAAGATTCAAATAAACAATACCAAGTGAATTTTAAATTTCACTCCATTGCACAAGTAAGTGACTATCAGAACTCAGTAGATAAGTAGATAAACTGATGGCATTTGGAGCGAACAGTACTGGGTTCTAGTCCCATAGTGGACATTAACATCATTGATGCTTTTAGGAATGCAATTGATCAGTCTGTTATTAGTATATGTACATACTGTGAGTATTGCCTTGATATTGCCTCAAGTCACAGGCATTATGGGCAAAGATAAATAGTGGTTAGCAGTGGAATCTAGTTTGATGCGCGTTTCGTCCTATTTGAGATTTGTCAGCCGGATAACGCGATTCTATTTGGAGCAAACGGTACTGGTTTCGGGTCGAAGAGTGGATTTTAACTCCGAGATGCATGTAAATCCAGCTGATAGGTCCCAAATAGAACGAAACGCACATCCTGGATTCCACTGCTAGTCATTATTCATCTTTGCTTATATATCACATTAATGTTTTTCTTTATTTAATACTAACACGTACATAATTTTGTGATTTATCATTATTTGACTACATTCCTGATAATATATTACTCCATGAATAGTCAATTTATAATTGTTTAATCATATACATGATAGTTTTAAGTGATTATCTATATATGATAATATTGAATGAATACTATATCAATTAGCATACAGAATGATAAACATACCAATTTCGGGTAAAGCTTGAATATGATTTAAAATGAAAAGCCAAAACCAAATAAATTGCATCATTTTACTCATTATAATGTTTTCTATTATAGGCTTTCTTAGAATGAAAGGATAAACATATAAATTTATGGATATATATATATATATATCCATATGAATGTCAGGCAAAGAAGACCCGAACACAAGATGGATCAAGACATATCACCATAACATCAGCTGAATCAAATCACAAGGTATAATTTGATTATGTTTAAGATTTATCTTTTTCAAATAGAAAGAAGAAAAAGAAAAGACACTTCCTTTATATTCAATAATTAAGTTGACATTAGTCTTCTTTTATATTAAAAAAAAGTTTTTCATTCAATTCAGTTTTATATAGAAATGTCTAGAAAATGGTCTAAATTCGAAAATTTCATTTAATTACTTATCCATTAATGGGAACGTCATTAGTGATTACATGCACTAATCAAATTACATTTGATGAAGAAGCTATGAAGGATGTAAAGATTTTTACATATTTGGAAATTATCATTGATGAGCATGATAGATCTGTTATAGATGTAAAGGTATGAATCGGTAAAGCAAAAGCAACATATTTACAACTGAAGAACATCTGGAACTCAAAACAACTCTCTGTCAACCAACACCAAGGTCAAGATTTTCGATACAAATGTCAAAACAGTTCTACTGTATGGGGCAGAAACCTGGAGAACTACGAAAGCCATCATCCAGAAGATACAGGTGTTTATTAGCAGTTGTCTAAGCAAAATACTTCAGATCCGTTGGCCAGACACTATTAGCAACAACCTACTTTTGGAGAGAACAAACCAGATCTCAGCGGAGGAAGAACTCAGGAAGAAGCGCTGGAAATGGATAGGACATACATTGAGGAAAGCACCCAACTGTGTCACAAGGCAAGCCCTCACATGGAATCCTCAAAGCCAAAGGAGAAGATCAAGGTCAATGAACACATTACTTCGAAAAACGGAGATAGATATAAGAAGAATGAACAACAATTGAATAGAACTAGAAAGGAAGGCTGATGACAGAGTGGTTTGGAGAATGTTGGTCAGTGGCCCATGTTTCATTTGAGGTAACAGGCGTAAGTCAGTAAGCAAGTAATTGAGAAGCCCTGTTAAACATTCTAGTTGAAGATGCGTTTTAAAAACTAAATAGGTGCGATTTTATTCACCCGTAAATACTTCATCAAAAAATGTTCCAACGGAATAAGTGTTAACTATTTAGCGACGAACTAAGTCTATTGAAACTTAAAACTTATATGGACTTTAAGCATGACAAAAGATATTTGAGAATGAAATATTCAGTTGAATTAACCAACTACTTAGTGAATAGCAAGATATATTTGTAGACAAACGTATAAGAAATGTTTTGTAAGTTAATAGTTCGTTATTTTAGTCTTTGTTGAAATATGTGCATCCTATACAGATCCCTTCTACATAATTATTTAAATACAGGTTTGATTGAATAGATGGGTTGTATCTAACAGGTGGAATCCAGTAGGCACACATCCTCCTCTTTCCCCTTTCTATTCAAGATTCCAAGTTAGCGCCTGCATCGTGATGCAGTTAAGTGATTTTCTCAATGTATGTCATATCCAATTCCAACGTCTTTTCTTAATTTCCTCTTCAGTTGGGAGCTCGTTTCTTCTCTCTCACAATAAGCTCTTACTGATGCTATCCAGTCAACGGACATTGAGTATCTTGCGTAGATAATTGTTTATAAATACTTGTACCTTGTGATGTTATTTGTAGTAGTTCTCGGAATTTCAGTTCCATACAGTAGAATTGTCTTGACATTCGTATTATAGATTGTGACTTTCATGTTGACTGATAGTTGTTCTAATTTCTATTTGTTCTTCAATTGTAGGAATACTGTGCTGCCTTTCCGGTCCTTGTATTTACGTCTTTATCAGATTCCCCTTGTTTATCAACTATGCTGCCCAATTATATAGAACTTTCTACCTCTTTCAGAGTTTCTCCATCAAGTGTGATTGGATTGGTGTTATTCATCTTGTATTTAAGAATCTTTCTTTATCCCTTATGTATGTTGAAGCCTACTGATGCACAGGCTGCTGCTACACTAGTTATCCTCATCAGGATTTGTTGGTGTTCATGGTACAATAGAGCTCACACATCTGAGAATTTCGAATCGTTGAACTGCCCATTGTATTCCAATAAATCAAGAGTTTAATTTCACCTTTTTTTGATAACATTTCAACAACTCTGATATTATCATTATTAGAATTGCTATAAATTCATTAATGTATCACTAAATATTTACTTTAAATCCGTTATCCAGACACTATCAGCAACAACGTACTGTGGGAGAGAACAAACCAGATTCCAGTGGATTAAGAAATCAGAAAGAAACACTAGAAGTGTATAGAACATACATTGAGAAGAGCACCCAACTGTGTTACAAGACAAACTTTTACTTGGAATCCTCAAGGCCAAAAGAGAATAGAAAAGAACAAAGAACACATTGCGCTGAGAAATGGAGACAGACATGATAAGCATAAACAACAATTGGATAGAACTATAAATGAAGGCCTAAGACAGATTGGGTTGGAGAATGCTTATTGGCGGACTATGCTCCATTGGGGGTAACAGGCGTTAGTAAGTAAGTAAATTTATATGTTCATTCTCATTTACTGGCTAACTGATTATGTGATTAGTAATTTGTTATTAATAAATTTTCTTAACCTTTCTTCCTCCATTAAAATACTATACAAATTTTATAGTGTAACCAATGAGACTATAATTTATGGACGACCTTTAAACGACGCCAATATAATCTTGAAAGTGCATACCTACTTTATCTTGCTAAATAAAAATTATGAAGCAATTTAAGAAATAATAATAGTTTACATTTGATGTTAGAAGTTTCGGATTTAGATTTATAGTTTTCATCACGAACTAACATTAACTAACATCAATCAAGACACTATTTAAACGAATGGATAAGTGGATTTCGCTTCAAAAACCGAAGATCTGTTATCTTAAATCTGATTGGTTCATCCTATAAATTATAGACTCGTCGTATAACCTTAGGCTATCCCATATTATTGAATTAAGAATTTTTATACCATAGAAACCATTTCAAAAAGATAATAAAAGAAAGAAAGTCGTTGTTTTTTTTGTTGTTGAAAATATGAATTCCTATTTGTTTTTATATTCAATAAGAAGTGTTTTTCTTTTCTTTCTCTAATTTGATTCTTATACATTAGATCATAATAAAGTAGTAAGTTATTATTAAGCTAAAATAGAAAATATCATGCAAAAGAAAACAATAATTAACTCTAATTAACTTGTAAAATAATAATAATGATAGTAATAAGTGTATTATTACTCTCTACATGTATGATATTTTTATCCACTTTTATACATACATAATATATGTGAGTAATCATTTGTAACTATGTGTGTTTTTGTTGTCAGACAGCAACAACAACAACAAAAAAATAATAACTGGAAGAGAACTGTTTACAGGATTGTTTTCTTTTTTTTTTCTTTTTACCAATCTAGTTATAAATGTATAAATATTATGATAAATCTAAGAATTCATTTGAACTTTAATTGATAAATCATTTTGAGCTCTTCATTAGATACAATTTAGATCCATTATGAATGATCATGATTATGATTTATACAATTTTATTGATTAGATAATGATTTTGTTTCTCATCCTCTTGATTCATTTGTTCAATAAAGGCACATTTATTCATTTCATTATTTATTAATTCTTCATTACGACGAAATTTTTCATATTCATCTCTACGTTTTAATACTTTTTCACGTCTCATATGTTCTTTATAAAAATCAGCAAAATTATTCACAATAATTGGAATTGGTAATGCTACTACTAATACACCACATATACAACAACATGCACCAATTAATTTGCCTAATATTGTTCTTGGTAACATATCACCATAACCAACTGTTGTCATTGTAATAGTTGCCCACCAAAATGCCGATGGTATACTACGAAACATTTCAGAATTTTCATCTTTTTCAGCAAAATATACTAAACTAGAAAATAATACTACACCTAAAGCAATTAATAACATAAGTAAACCAAGTTCTTTATAAGAACGTTTAAATGTATAACCAAGTGCTTGTAAACCAGTTGAATGTCTAGCAAGTTTAAATATACGTAATATACGAAGAATACGAAAAATTTGTACAATTTTTCTTAATGAATGTAATGATTCATTATGATGTCTTGTTACAACTTCTACCAATAATACATGGATATAGAATGGTAAAATTGCAATTAAATCAATAATATTAAGAATACGTTTAAGAAATTTCAATTTATTTGGTGAACACCATAAACGTAATACATATTCCAATGTAAACCAAGAGATACATATTGTTTCGACAATATCTAAATATGGATTATCAGTTATTTCATTTGATGATTGATATGTAGTAGCATTATTATAATCTGTATCAGTATGTATCTCCGTCTCAATATATTTGATCAATGTAGTGTTAAGTTGTATTTCAGGCATTGTATTCAACGTTAAACTGATTGTAGATAGAAGGATAAAAATTATTGAAACGATTGCAAACACCTGTGTAGAATGAAATAGATGAAAACAGTAACAAGGTGTTATATATATACATATTAATGTAAAGAAAAATTAGTAGTTTGATGAATACAAATCAAAAATGTAGTTGGCTTTTCCGGTTAACAACACCGACTGGACTTAGCTAGACAACCATTAAAAACCAGTAAGCACTGGATAGCTCTTTTATACTAGTATGGGACTTCTCAACAGTGCGCATCTAAAAACACTTCGAAGATAGAACTCAAGGACTTCAGGTATCAAACTAAGCTCTTACAAATGATTAATTCTAAAAGACAACTCCAGGAGTCCTGCTGAGAAAATTTGATCAGAGGTATTCAAATATGTTGTATGTAAGTCAATTTTCCGTTACTGACATTGGACGTTAATTGTGCAATTATGCGAAATGAATCAAGTTAGACTTATAAATCATTGTTTCTTTACATAATAAATGAATGCAATCGAATTAAGAGAGGGTATTATGTTAATTATTCATTTGATAAGAATTATACCAAATAGTGGTCGAAAACCCAGATGTGAAAAACAAATTTAATATTCAAAGCTTGTGACTTAAGGTAATATCGAGGCAATCCACACAGTATGCACATATGCCAACATGAGACTGATCAATTGGAGTCTTAAATAACAATGGGAAGATACAAGTAAAACAACACCAAGTCAACTCAATATTAAATAGTACCTGCCTAAAATGTGAAAATCATACATTAAATATATTATTTGCATATCTTCCATAGTTATTCTTCACATGATTGGTGCTTCTTTCAATTCTTTTCTTATTCCAATTACTCTCTGTTTTCTTTCATGTTCTTTCCAATTCAATTTTCTGTTGGCAGACATCACACTTCCATTTTCCGTTACATACTACTTATATCTGTCAGCATAAGTAGCATATATATATATATATGTTTTACATAGCAAACATCATGGGATATTTAAACATTTACTCCCAACAACGTCTTTAATTTTCTTAATTTATGACTTTAAAAAAGATTACCGTAAAAGATATTCGTTTATTAATTTATCATCTTAACTTATACCTCGAGCTTAGCTTCAAGGTGAATGTTATTGGTGACAAGATACAAGAAATATATGTCCATAGGTTGTATTTTTGTTGTTCACTTGAATAAATAAACGATTTATGTGTACCCATGAAACGAACAACGCTCTTTTAAGGCATGAAACTTCCAAAATCTAGTATCTAAGTTACTATCATTGAACTATTCAGTCAATTAAATTAGTCTTTTGGTATTTGTGAACGCATGAAAACAAATCTAATTAGTAGAATTTGAATAGTATCATGAACTTGATGATGTAACGTTGGTTTTCGTTTTGTGATCGATTATAGTGAAAATACAAAATCATTCAGTAGTTACGTACTCCGTTTTTTTTAACTTCAAATGGTAGGAATCTGTTTTTTTCAAACTGTGGAAAATCTTGTTCAGTGAAATATATCAAAATGAGAAGTGATTCGAATTTCCATCTGATCTATATGGTTGACTATGTGAGGAGATGTCACTATAGTGACAAGAACACCAGTGGGGACAATCGAATGTATTTGACACGAAATCTGAGAACCATATATTAAATAGTTAATTTTCAAAATATCAATCTATTATCTCAAACTTGACTGTTCTTGTTGCAAACATCAATCCATTGTCTCAGATTTCATTATTCATATGTTTTCATACCCACTGAGTTTTGTTCTCGTTCTTTCCTCATCGACCTTCTACTGAAATATACATTCTATACCTGACCACCCTCATATATTACTTGTGTGGATATAAGTAACCCATACCACATCATATTAGTTGACTTTCTCAAGGTTCTCTAAAATAAACTTTATATTTAATAATATTCTAGGACATTTGTAAAGGTTTATTAATATATTCATTATTGTAATATCTATCTGAACTTAATCATTTGGTGGAAAACACATTGCTGTTGGGAACAAAAGTAATTACGTTGGATTTTCAATGTGAACATAAACACTGGAATGCAAGTATATTCTATATATGATGAAATACGTGTTCTGAATTTCACTGCTCGCCACTACTGAATTTCCATATTACTAGACATGTTATTCCCTATGTTTATTGGAATCATTAGTTAAGCTACAAAACGTTAAAAAAGTAACTATGAGACTGAATTATCACACAAATGAATTAGGAACATCAAGTTAAATGAATATTATCAATCTGTTAGGTTTGAAGCAAACACGAGTTCACTTGATGCGTTCCAGCCCCGCTAACTTGAGGGAGAAGTCCAAGTTTGGAGTGGAAAAGTAGATTCTGCAAACAGCCAGAAACGAGCGATAACAACAAACACAATTCAAAACGTATATATACAGTGCTAAACCGTCCTTGAGGAGAGTTACCAAATAGCAAACTAAAAGACTCAACGGACCAATAGCATTTAAGATATTTCCCAGTGGGAAATACGACATGAAGGTGACAAGAGCGCCTTTGGCGCGAAAACAAAAAACTTCAAATTTTCTAAATAAAATTACAAAATAACGTCCTTTCCCAAGTGAGTTCTGGGGATCTAACGTCCCCAACACAATCTAATAGTGTAAATGAGGAGTATTTAACATAAATAATAATGAGATATACAAAATGGATAAAATACAACCTTTTGAAACAGTAGAATAATATTGAGAAAACTAGGTATACATTTCCATGAACATCGATGAACTAAACTATGGTAAAACTAAATTTCTTCTAATGAGTATAAACTAAAAAATTGTTTTTGTACAAACACATTTAATTTTAAATTTTAAATAACTAATTGATTTATATTGTTTGGAATAGATCTACATATTGACCTTTTATTTCGTAATTGATGTCACAAAAAGTGTTTAATAGATTGGATCAATCAGTCAGCTACAATGTAGGACCAGCCACACATATGCATTGGTCCAAGTTGCCACACCTCATTAGCATCACAAATGAAATCACTACTGTTATGAATGAGATATGTTCAATAAATATCCTAGTTCCGAATATATTGTGATATATTATTTATTCTACGACATTTAGTCATTCAGTCACCTACAACATAGGACCAGGCATATATATGCATCGTCCAAGTTGCCATATCTCATTAGCCCAACACAATGAACACCAAATTCATAGAAGTAGTTAATTCAGTTCTACGACATTATCATATAATTTCTGTAATATAATCATTTGAGTTTCAAATACTGAATAAATAATAAAATAATGCAAGATGTTTGCCTGGTCTTTCTTCTGAACAGCGACAACAAAAATGCCTCGAAACAACAGTTCTACATTCAATCATATTTTTATATTGAGGCACTTTTTCCATCCTGATTGCGCGCTAATAATACTAATCTTAAACTGTTCGAATAATGTTAAACTAATTATCATTACATGTTACATTCGTCATTATCCATCAGGATAATAGCACCTAATAATAAATATAATTAATTGGATTATGTTTTAATATTATTGTCAAGCGCATCAATTTGAGGCATGAAAACAAAACATGTACGATATAACTTTTTACATGATGAAATGAAACAACAGTTTCATTACATAATATGTAAACTACATGGTTGATATTGATGAAGATTAGTGATACTCAGTTGCTTTTAAATTCAGAAAAATTAAACTCATAATTTTTGTCACAATTTCGTTTACTGAACTGGACGGTTTAGTCATGACGTTTACTTTATCATTTAAATTATTCTGCATAAAACTGACAGGTTAACCGATTTACGTTGATAAAGGTTCAGAAAGACAATGAAAGTTTCATGGTTAAATCAATTAGTTCACAGAATCAAATCATCAAAATAAACAACCGAAACACAAGTCGCCTTCATTATTTCATAGCTATGTATTAAGAATTTGTTTTCCCATAACAATACTGTACCATCCACAACTGATGTTGTTTTTATAGAATAAACAGTTAAGAAACAAACGTTTGTGTCACAATATTATATGCAACAGAATCACATATTTTCTAAGATCTAGTGTTTGTTCTTATCGTGATGGTTCTAACAAATCCTAGACACAATTAGAACGCGTGCTGTGTATTTCACTGCTATTTACAACTCATGTTAAGATGGTGGTGGAAGGTGGTCAACAGGAACCCTGGACCTAGGTTTCGTGCTACTTGGCACTCGTCAGTAAGGTGTACCTGTAATTTTGGGAAAACTGATGTTCAGTGGTAATATTTCTGACCATGAAGCTGTGTGACACGGGAGTGAATTCGTCAGGGAGCATCGGTTCTCTAAAGATTTCAGGTACACCTTACTGACGAGTGCCAAGTAGCACGAAACCTAGGTCTATGGTTTCCTATTGACTACCTCCAATCACCATCTTGTCTCAAAATAGCGTACGCAATGTCAAGTCATTTAGACTAGTAGCCACATTGTAACTTGGTTCATAGGATTCGATTTGCACTAAGAGCTGACATACATGACATTGATCACCATCCACTGATCAATCAATTGTAAATACAACTCATCTTTTGTATTATCAATTTTATTTGAGCACTTTCTTTTAATCAATATTAAAATAGTTTAGAACTGATGAATAATTAAACGAGCTTTCAACGTTTCATTATTTCACCTAATCCGTCAATATTACTTGATTTATAGTTTTATAATAAACATTGTACAATGCAGTAAATACAGTGATATATATTAATATCAGATAGGTTTTGTGGATATTATAGTGATTTCACCATGGAACATCTGGAAGCATTGGAAGGTCGTTTCGTCCTATTATAGCACTCCTCTAGCTTCAACTGACTCATGATCTTAACCATTGAAATTACTTCAATATCCACAAAACCCATCTGATATTAATCAACATATGTTCACTAGTGACTGGCTTCAAGAGCTATATCCTGGAATTCTAGTGAGAAGCCATGACCAGTGGAGTTCAACCAGGTCTGTTGGTGGATTTGTCGCTCAATTTCGTGAATTAGTTGAATTTAGACATTAAAACCGTCGAGTGCCG